CATCCCTGCCTAAGTTCCCCTCTGACACATTGCCCGAGGGCCTCTCAGTTCTTCCACAAAGAAACTTCCTTTCTGCTCTGCCATTTGGTACTGTCGGGCCATGCATGCGGTCACCGACAACAGGCTGAAACTATGGGTATTCCAAAAATCCTACCTCCCGCCGTCAGAGGCGGGACAAGCCCCAACATCCCCCAATCTGAACAAATGAATGCGAGACACGTCATCTTGCGTGCCTCGACAGAGAGGCGCCAATGCCTTGAGCACTTCTGTGTTCTCCACACGAGCCGGAGATGCGACAGTTCGCATGTTCGGATCGCAACCGACATTTTACACTTCTGTAATGAATAACCCTGCCTCAATTCATTTCCCCGAAGCTGCCATTTCGTTTCCGGCGCCCAGCACTGAAACCAGGAACATGCTGGATCCGCTTTCAAGATGAAGCATGCTGCCCTCGCCATATCATTTCTCTTGCGAATTAGGCTCGTGCGACATCTGCGGATCACATCTAGCGCGCAATCGCAGGACCTTCGCTTCCTTCCCCGAAGCCCCCAGACGACAGGAAATTTATACAAATCCGGGCACCGGCTGCAGCCATGTTCGCTGATCGATGATGTGCACCTCTAGTAGAATCATGGACAAGCATACCAAGCATAACCCACGAAGAAGTGATAGCAAGCATCACACGCAGAACAACCACAGCGACCCTTCATTTGCCCCTCACATTTGTGCATCCTCACTCGGCTTTCCGCTTTCAGTTTGACAATCTCTTCTCTCCTTGGGTGTTGCATCCTTCGCATCTAATGTGCTTGATGCCATGGCGGGTGGCGACGATTGAACATACAGCTCCATAGGCTTGGCTCCAAGACTAGCTCACCAGTGGAGGCATGAAGGATCTTCTGTGCAGGACTCGGGAAGTTTGTATGTTTCTGTTCTCCTCGGAAGCCAAACGATCAGACTGGCCAGGTTCTGCTCAGGACATGCCGCATGATCCCTTTTAGACACACTTTTGCCTCACAGACTCAAGTCGGGAGGGTCTCCTTCCGATTACAGGATCCTTCGGATCGAGTCAAGAAGGGCTTTGATGCCCTGAAGCCTGCAACTTCCTTGCATGTCTGAAAGATTCCCCCTGGCGGGAGCAATCGGGTGGAAGATGTAGGCTTTAAGGCAATAAAGAAGCCCAGCAGGAATTTTGAGGTCAGGACAGGCCTGAAATGCCCACGAGCCACGTCGCTCCATTCAACGCAGCGGGTCTTTGACAAGAGCCGTGCCCATGAATCCTTGAAGCCTTTGGCTTCAACCCTCGAATCCCTGGAATAGGCGACCAGGTCTCTGAAAAGAGGTCTGGGGTCCTGCGGCACTTTGGAGTGAAGAGCTACAAGCCGCTAAGATCTTAAACTTTAGCGGTCCCGCAGCTCTCCACTGGCTTAGACGAGCCAAGAAGCCATCTTGTAAACACCGCTCGTCAGCGTTTCCCGTAAAACTGATGCAGGTCTACAACATCCTGCGCCACTTTGGCAGCAAGCGTACTTCCCCAAACCCCAAAATGTTCTCTGCACTTTGGCCGCTGCCTTACCTCGGCAGAATAGAGACAAGATAAAAGCACAGCAAAACCCAGCGTGTCTATGGCATGCTCCACCCACAGCTCCTCTAAGGAGTGCATGGGCATACCAGGCATTGAGTCTTGCAAGAATACATATTTCCTCATCGACTTTCACACCAGCGTCCCCCTGCACGCATCAAGACACGTGGCTAAAGTCAGGCTTGGGGACGGCTAGGAAGACGGGAAGATGCTGCAAGTGTTTGATCAAGGCGGCACCTGCAGCCGCATCTTCATCGCCTGGTCCAGGTAAGTTTGGCAGGACTGCGTTTATCTTATCTGGTCCTTGCTGGCTGAGGGATGATCTAGATATTAATTACAACCGAGGTGAAAAGAAAAGACTAAACCGGCGACGCACTCTGCAGCTGCACAGAGCTGAGGGAATTTTGGCGGGGCATCTGCTTCCTCGAGAAGCCAGCTGAAGCGCCCGCAGAACGGCAACGTCAAATCAAGAACAGAAGAAGTGTTAGACTCGCTTAGACGTACCAGTCTGTTGGACCATAACTTCAGTCTATTGTGCGTCTTGGGTCCCCTGGGGTCTGGGTCACAATTCACCTGCCAAAGTCTCGAATGTCTGGCTGAGTAGGAAGTCGTGCTGGCAGCGCTGCTGGTCCTACGCGGGCAGCGGCCCATTGATGTATGTATCTGGTGAGGCCTTGTCTTCTGATGCTTCTCACGAAGACGTCCTGCGCGAAGCTGAGGCGGTTCCCGACGCCTCTGACGCAGACTTCCGGCTGCGCTGCGCGCGCTCTGCGGAGTGTGATGGGGGCCCCTGCGCCTGCTGCGTTTCTGAGGAGGGATAGATAGCCGAGAGCCTTACCGGGATTCCTACCTACATTAAGGGGTCACAGCGCGGATAAACAAAAGCCGCACAAACCTCGGAGATGGGCAGGGTGCAAAAGTGGAGCAAAGTTTGAGAGTGAGGTCGTACGAATATCAGGCAAGCCCGTGTCACGAGTTTACAATTGGCTTTGAAGACTGTTGGCGCATGCGCTGCGCACGTAGAAGTCATCAGGGGTTCCAGCATGTGTGCTCTGCAAACCGTGTGCACTGCGAACATGCCCCACAGTGGACGGCAAAGCACTGCGAACGGAACATCGTCGAGTGAAAATCGTAACATACTCTTACATTCGGCGTCCTTTACTCTGTCTTGCCCTCAGGGTGCATATTGAGGTCCTCCGCTACTTCCCAACATTCCCACTTCCAAGATTTTTGCGGAGGGCCCCGCCTTGGAGGACTTCGGCGGAGTCGAGCTGGGCCGTCTTCCTTCAGGTGCCTTTTAGGGTTTTTGCACTCACACTCGAACATGCCTAGGCATTTTAAGGTTTTTTTTTCCCTCTCGCATGGCTGAGGATCTGCATTTTAGGGTTTAGGGTTTAGGTGTCTGTTTAGGGTTTGGGTTTAGGTTAGGTGCCTTTTAGGACCAACGGGCCAGCGGGTCGCTTCAGGATGTTTGGCTAGGACCGATGCCTACAAGCGAGGTGTCTTTGGGGTGTAGGGCGCAGGTTTCGGAGGCTCACATCCTATTGCGCTATTGCACAACAGGCTCCAGGAGAGGATGGCGCAGACGGTGTACAGTAGAGTGCATGGCACCTCTTGCAAGTCCAGCTCCATGGCGGAAACTTGCGCTGCGGGCTCATTCTGGCGGCGCTGAGCGATGCCCTGAGACATGAAGTAGGGGCGATTCGACTCGAAGGGCGACCTGGCAGTCCCACACACAGCCAATCACCATGTCTTCGCTTGCTTCGCTGCAGCTGAAGCACTTCATCCACTGCGGAGCCCCAACAGAAACGATGCTGAGGTTCCTCAGGCACGCAACGCGCATGGATCTTGATGTCTGAGAAACGGTGTTGAACTGCATATCATCTGGAACGCTCCTAACTACGTCCTGCCACATCATGCTGCCCATGCAAACGCGCCTATGCCAGTGGTGCGTGCTCCATGTGGCAACAGGGACGGAAGGAAACCACTTCGCATCAAAGCTTAGGCTCTGGATCTTGCCCTCCTGTCACAGTGTCAGGGCAACTGAGAAAGCTGGCGCCCGATGCTGGATCTGCAGAACATCTATACATCCTGCCTTTGGTTTTCTGGCTTGGCCGGCCAAATCGAATTCGCTGCTTAAATTGCGAGGGCTGGGTGTCGTATTTAAGGAGGCACACGCACACACGCCCATGGACTCCTCGTTCTTGACTTGCTTGAAGACCTGCTTAGGTCTGACTGGCACCCTGCGACCAGCGATGAAGTTATCCTCATGCTCCTGGACAGGACTCCGATTCACCTCGCCACCACACATTCTCTGCCTGTGGCCGAGATCCGAGTCACAAGGTCACGCAGCCTCATTCGACATGGTCTTCAATTTCTCAGCCACCCCTTGCTTCTCGAAAAATGATCCTTAGCTGCACAGGCAGACCTCGTCACCATATGCACAATGAAGTTTTGAAGCAATGGACGTGGGTATCGCCAGCACACATGAGGATTGCTAGACACATTCATGATCTAGGAAAGGCGCGATTGCTCTCGAAGGGCTGCTTCATCCACTGCGGGCTCTCTACGGAGACAATGGAGTTGTTGGCAACCTTCATAGCTAATGGATCCTAAACCCTAAACCTCAAACCCCAACAAGACAGGATTTCAGCACACCATTAATTTATCGTGTCTGCAGAAGAGGCCAGCCTTTCCAGTGCCCCCATCAACCACCGTGCCCTTTTTGGTCTTTCTGTCCTGCATGGGATGGGGCGAACCATGCATGGCGAGACATGAGGGCCGTAGATTTGCGTGGAAAGTCTGGAAAAATGCAAAGCTGCAGCGTCACTGTCTGAACTCATCATTGAAGGAGACTTCTAGCCAGAGCTGGCTACACAATTCTTCTCCCAGGAGTCCGATATTCTCAACTTTGGTCCTTCATCTTGTCCCCGGCCGCAATGTAGCCGTTATCGTAGCCCTTGCGGGCGGAGTTTGGCGCCGACTTCGCTCTCTCCTCCCAACAGACAAGCCAGGGCTTACCGGCACAAACCTGGAATCTTCAACTGAAACCCTCCACAAGGGGACTCTAAAAGTTTTCTGCCCCCGAGTGAAGACTGAGGTGGATTGGCGCCTCGTAGGCTTGCCGGTGCTCCAGCCCAGAATCCAAAGGAAAATCGGGCCTTTGCTGCGCCCAACAAAGGCCCCCTGGGGTCTATACCATGTCAGAGGCAGGGCAACTGCATTGCCTCGCAAGGCCATAGTGCACTCCGAACTGAGTGCTCGTCTAAATCTGCACCGTTGTGTTTGAATTTGAATGCTGAGATCCACGCGTTTTGCTAGTTACACCTACATCAGATCCACCTTGAGTTACGAAACCCAGTGGACCCAGGTACTGCTTTCCGTTCTGATCCCACTTTGCGCTCTCACAACTCGGACCACTGTAGGGCCTGTAGGGTTAAGCCTTAAAGCTCCGAAATCTGCACCCAAGCTGCGATTGCAGGCTGCTGTAGTTTATGCGGCCAGTCCTCGGGATGAAAAGCTCGCTTCTTTGAGTTCCTTTGTCTCTTTTCTGGGTTTGAGGGTGTGTGGGGGTTTTGCGGTTGAGCGTTATGTTTGTGTTGGCGAAAAGTTCAGGCTCAGGATTGCTTGGTTGGGAGTGATTGATTCAAGTTCAATGCTTTTGTTTGGGGGGTTGTAGTCTTGGAGAGCCTTCGATGCATTTTACGGCGTCGGCGGTTTTGCGGTCTTTCGGGATTTCGACTCTCATCGTGGTTTACTAAGACTATGTGGTCTAGAGTCTAGAGGGCCGTGGTGGCCCTGCTCATTCAGACTCGAGCCCAGAGGAGGTGCACTCGACGTGGGCAAAGCGTTGATGAACAATGACGGGAATCATGGTAGGGAGGCTAAACAACCTTTTTCGCTACTGGGCTCTAAGTCTAGCAGCCTAAGCCCTAGCCCTAAATCGTAGTAGGGTAGTACCAGGGAGGCCAACATGGTGAAGTCAGTATCTTGATCATCCATGGGCCTTTGGTCTCTGGGATCCGATCGGTGCTCCGTGGAGAACCCCTCCACTTCTAGCAGAACAAAGGTCCTACTTCTTTCTGGATTTTACGGCAAGAGAGATCTACTACGGTAATACTACTGTACTGATAAACTGTTCATGTCACTCAAGCATCTTGGATCTGAAGCCTCTTCAAAGGAATATGGCGAAAAGTGCCTTCTGACCCGGCATCAAGAGACCTTCAGGGATTCTGCGATTCAAGTTCTGTGTCATGTTCTGCTCTCAGAGCATCTTCTTGCCGAGAAACGATGGATGAATGTTGCCGCTGGCTTTGTTGCGGAAGGACTGGTCCCAAATCCGATGGGTGTCCACCCCGGCCGGCCTGTGGACTTGTAGGGAACCCCCTGCCTGCCTGCCTGCCTCTGTGTGTGTGTGTGCATATGTATATATGGGTAATAACAATTGTTATTACAATTATTGTTATTAGTTAGTTATATATATATATGTATCAGTCTTCTTCATCAGGGCATAGGGGGCGGTCAAACCCCCCTGGCCTTTAGAGGCCCCCCGCTGTTTGGGGATTGCTTTGAGGGAGTGTGAAAAGACGGTTGTGTTGGGTTATATCAGTCTATATCAGTCTCTCTCTCTCTCTCTTCTCGGGAACTCCCTGCCTGTTTGTGTATATGCATATATGTGTGTATGATTATGATTATGATGATTGTTATTATGCTTAGTAGTAGTATTATTATTACCATTAATATATTATATATATATATACATATACACATGTCTTTCTTTCCTTCGCCAGGGCTACCTCTCTGTCTCTTGCTTGCTTGTTTAAGAGCAAAGGCACCGCAGTGCCCCCCACCCCAAGGGGCTCCAAACGTCTAGCGTCCAGCGCACGTCGGCGTGAGACTCACGAGGGCTTTCTCCGGGCATGACTGAAGGAGGTTTTGTCCCCCGGTACTACACCTTTAAACCAGCTTCAGAGTCTCCCCGGCCTGCATCCCGAACCGAACCGAACCTTGCTCGACACTGCCTCTCGATATACAGGCTTATATATATATGTGTGTGTGTATGTATGTATGTATGTACGTACGTACGTACATACGTAGGTATGTATGTATGTATGCATGTATGTATGTATGTTCGTACGTATGTCCGTATGTCTGTCCAACTGGGTATAGATATTACTATACTTATCTACAAATACATATTATATATATACACATATACATATTATCAATATACATATTATCCCTATACATTTACATACGTTATACACACACTTATGGGCCTCGACAAGTCATCTGCGGAACGTGCTCGTCGGGGCGTCGCTTCCACCGCCTCCATGGCCGATGCAGTCTGCATCCACTCGGGAACTTGATCCTCGGTCATAGGAAGCACATATATATATATATGTATATGTATACATAATTATATACATGTATAGCATTGTATAGCCATATAGAGGTATACAAATGATCATAGCAATTGTGCACCTGTATATAGTTGCATGTTTCTGGCCATCTATTTGTCCTTGGCTGTTTCTATTTACGTTCTTTTGGATATCTATACACCCATACATCGATATGTAAGCATGCGCCACGAACTCCCTCTCTCTCCCACCTACATCTACATCTACAGCTACTGCGAAACCCATTTGTCTCTATCTAAGCTATCTAGGCCTAATCTATCTTTCACACACACACACACAGACACAGACACAGACACGAGTGCAAACCTTTCGTGCAAGCCGCAGAAACGACCAGGTGCTGCATGCTGTTGGCGGGTCTACCTGCCGTCCCAGCTGGCAAGCACGTACAACAGCTGAGAGGCAGGACGGGTACGGGCACTCCGAAGTGCCCCACATACTGCCCCATAGCGTCCGAGGGGCTCTTTGCCCGAGGAACCAGGAAAGTGAACCTGCACGTCAGAAGGAGCCGGAGTTTGGAGGTCTCAAGGCTGCGGTAATTAGGTCGTCGTTTGTGCTTCTGCGCGTGCCGTGCAGCTGCTTCCTGCCTGTCGTGTCCATCCTTGGCTTGCCAAGTGAAACGCGAAAACATATCTCTCAGGATGTGTGCGAGGGCGATAGCGGTAAAGCACATGTGAGCGGCTACGAATTTCACAGTGGCAAGCAGCTCGCTGCCAACTTCCAGGAGATTCTTTGTCGACTTTCTTCCACGTCGAAGCGCCGTTCATCCAGTCTGGGCTCCCCCTTTGGCACAGGGGGGGCACAGCCGCAAAGCGATGCAAAGCGTCTCTCACCGACTCCCACCCTTTGAAGGTCGGGTCATCTTGAGCCTGGAGCCTCTTTTGTCCCCAAAGATCTGCGGTAAAAATCACATGAACAAAACCTGACATCGACCCAAACAGTGCTTGTCCAGTTGCGCTGAGACGTTTTGGCTCAGTGATACTCCCGTATCATCTCGCCTTTCATTGCGGCATGCTTCCACGAGTTTTCACATCCAAGACTTGCCAGAACCGGCAATCGTCATGTTTAACGCTTCCGTGCCGTGATGCCGTCCCTAGGCCCTAGGCTGCCAAGTCACAACGCAGCTCCAACCTTCTTGCCCTGTGACCTGGCCGAACTGCCAATACCGGCAGCAATTTCGTCTCCTGGCTGAGCTCGTGCAGTGACTTTTTCCCACCCGCTCAGTACATAGCTGCAAAAAGTGTTTCTCTGACCGCTCTGACCTGAACCCGACGAATGCTTGAACACAGCAGGTTGCCCCACGTCAGTTGTCAGCAGAGAACCGCCTGCACTTCCTGTTGCGGCTTCATGCGCTTCTTGCTGCTCAACCCCATTGCCTCCAGCTGGCTTCTTCAGCTTCTGAGCTATCCCTTTCTGTTCAAAGTACGAGCGATTGTTCTCGAAGAAGGACTTCATCCACTCCTGGGAGACATGGGCCCGCAAGCAAACATGAACCATGCCAGCCGGTTGCATGATGTCACAAACGCCAGACTCCTTAATTGAGGCAATTGAGGATATTCCTTCCTTACATCGGGCAAAGTAAGAGCTGCAGAATCCCTAAACCCCTTTTTTTGAACCCAGACTCCACCCATCAGCTGGGAAGCAGCACTTCCAGACTATTGCATCCCTTTTTCCACAGGCTTGAACTGAGCTCGCCCGGCCATTGCATCCCTAAACCCTAAACCCTAGTGTTTATTGAAGGGTCTCGGGAGTCTCCCCACTTGTGGCATCTCGTTCATTCAAGTGTCCGGACTTTCCACCGAGACAATCGTCTTGTTCTGTATTCGTCCGGTATCCTGGGCCTGAGGGAGCAAGTCTACTGGTCAATCCGCACGTCCACTGATTCAAGTGTTTGCCTACCCAAGCCAGCATTTCCGGCATCGGGCTGATGACATGCTGAATTCTCTTCGGTGACTCGACTCTACAGGCCTGGATGTTCATTCGTTTGCCTGGGCGCCAGTTGTCTTCTGCTGGGTTCCCACATTTGCCACCTTGGTAGAGATGATCCCAAGGATGGCTACAACATCGCAAATGCGTCCGCTCATGGATGGCAACTGGCACGGCACACTTCGTTCAAGCTACTCTCGTTGTCAAACTTCATTGGTTTCGTCCGGTCTGGGCGACGATCGGGCCGCTCTTTGGCCGCTGTCTGGCCTAGCTAGCACACATGGACATGCAGACAAGCCGAGGAGGAATTCCAGTTTCAGCAGCTTCAAATCTTGAAAGTTCCGACCCCCGGTCCCGACCTTGCTTCTCAGAGGCATTCTTTTTCGCCACGGCTTGCTGAGCGTATCCAGACATGGCTGCTCAAAGCTCTAGGGGTACGATGTCAAGGACATTAGGGACAGTTTGACTGACAAAGCTGCTGCTCATGCCACAACAGAGAAGCTGTGATGTAACTGCCAGCGAATCTGCATGTCGTCACTGTTCGGGCATGGAAGCATGAGCCAGCATGCCGCGGTGGAACTCCTCATTCCACATTATTTCACATCACGGTGCGCATCTGTCTGACACTACCAGCGAACGATTACGGTTTGAAAGTTGCATGGAGAGCCATTTTCGCACCTTCCTCGGTCGGTGCGACGAATGATGTCTGGCAGTCTGGCGTCTGGGGCATGCTCTAGGTGGGCCCCAGTTGTCGTGCATGTCACGTGCAGAGACGTCACATACCCATGCCGCCCATGCCCTTGCCGCCGCCCATGCCCGGTCCCATGTTTGAGCAACCACAGCCTCCTTTGCAGCCGCAACCTCCGCAACCACCGCAACCTCCGCAACACCCGCCACAACCGCAACCACCACCCCCAGAGCAACCGCCACAACAGCCGCCGCAACCGCATCCACAGCCTGGGCCACCACAGCCACAGCCACATCCTCCACAGCGGCATCCACCACAGCCGTTTCCACAACCACCTCCACAGCCACAGTTTCCGCAGCAGCCACCCCCACAGCTTCCGCAACCACAGCCACAACCGCCGCAGCCGCCGCAGCCGCCACAGCCGCCACAGCTGCCACAGCCGCCACAGCCGCCACAGCTTCCGCAGCCACCACATGGACACCCTCCACAGCCACATCCTCCACAACCACCGCAGCATCCACCGCCACATCCGCAGCCCTGGCATCCTCCACAACCAGGCGGGCCGCACCCACAGCTGCCACCTTTGCAGCCACACCCACAACCACACGGACCTCCACAACCCCCACATGCGCCGCATGGGCCACATCCGCCGCCTTTGCCGCAGGGACCACATCCTCCACACGGGCCGCAACCACCTCCACATGATGTCCCACATCCACCGCATCCGCAGCCAGCATTGCAACCGCCACAGCTGCCACAGCCACAGCCGCCGCAGCCGCCGCAGCCACCACAGCCACCGCAACCTCCGCAGCCACTGAAGCCACAGCCAGAGCCGCGGCAACCACAGCCAGAGCAGCCGCCACGACCATTCTCGGCATCTTTCTGGGTCTTACTTGGCTCTGGCTCTCCCATGCCTTGGCTCCAGCTCACAACTTGGCAGAAGTGGACTCAAGCAGCGCAGGACGATCAGCAACAGCCACGCTGGCAGCATGAAATATCGTGCAAACACAAGTTTTGGTCGCAATTCGGGTCATGATCCTTGGTTGAAGTTGCGACAGCCTCTCTCACCAAGAGAAAGACATCCCAAAGCCAGTGACAACTGCGCTTGTTACTCTCACGAAGCAAGCGGAACCGAAACTGCAATCGGTCACGAATTTCAGATGATTCGGCGGCGCCTTACTGTTCCCGCACTGACACATGTGGCCTTGATGCAAAGCTCGCCTAACCACAGTCGCAATGCTCATGGGCTACCAGTGCCACCACGCACTTCTTGTTTCATTTATGACAGCCAAAGGCCAAGGGACCGTGGACCAAGCCTGAGCTTGACAGCAGAGGTCTCGTGTTTTGGTGCCAAGCCACTGCCACCACTCTTCTGTTTGGCTTGGTATTCCTCTTGCCTGAGCTGCACACACCAGTATCTTCCGTGCATCGGCAAAGAGACATAGCGGCTATAGCTTGCTGTTTTGCTTGGGTTATTCATCTTTAGAACCTAAAGCATCGAAAGCACAGACGCAAGCACAGAAAAGGCTGTCTGCAGATCCGTGGCTGTTGCTGCATCATACGACGAATCTCCGCCTCCATGGGATCTTCGGCTACCGGCGGTGGTGGCGGCGCCGGTGCCCTTGGCGCAAACATGGGTCATCATAGCAGATCATGTCACATCACATAGCATACCATCATGCCATATTACATGGTATGGTATACTATTAAAATAAGTATATTCTAAAAAATATAAATATATCAATGTAAATGCAAATATAAATGTAAATATACATAAATATATATATATATATATGTATGTATGTATATATATATATCAGTTTACACGATCTCCACCACTCGCACACCTCGCT